AGTCTCTAGGGTTAAGGATGTGCCTTGGAATCTTGACCATCTCTCATCTATTTCTTTTGCACCTACATGACTGCTTCAGCTTTACGAACTTGGGACTAACTCAACTCCCCAGGACCTTATTGTAAGGTCTGTTATAAGGAGGATTCAAAAAAAGACATTACTCTTAGAAAACCTGAAGATCAGAGGAGAGGAAGACCCTCGTTGAGATGGATGGACAGTGTCAATGATAATGAGCTCACAACAGACATGATGAAGACGGTGCCGGGTCAGGCCAGGCCCCTTGTGTTGTACACTCAGCTGAAATGAGTCAGAGTTGACCAGATGACACCTAACAACAACCAGACTGAGAGAAGTCTCCTATCGAGCTGACAATTTGGATTTCATCCTGAAATTCTTAACAGTTTTCTAAGAGAGGCTTGGCACTTTCATTTTTCATCAAGCCCAGCAAAGGACAGGGTGGGCCTTCCATGTAACATGGCTCAGGGCCAGGCATGATACTCTGTTCACTAACAAGGTGAAACTTCAGGCAGGTTTCTAGAACTCTCAAATCATCAATCATCTTATCGTAATAGGTGCAGATGTAACAGAAGCTGCCTTGGAGAACTCCTATGAAGACTCAATGAGTAACGGTGCTTCACTCAGTGCTTGGAATTTATGATGTCCAGTAAGTTAAATCCAGGGTATTTAATAAATGCTAGCATTTGGCTAATAGAGCAGCTATCCTCATTATTCTGGCAATGTCTTCTTAAGGACAGGTAAGGCAAAGAGACATGCCGTTTGTGTGAAGGGACATTCATCTCCCAACAGACCAGGCGTCATTTCCCTGCTCCAGTGTACCCGAATGCCATCAGCACCGATCCATCACAGAGGAAGGTCACCCATATTTATCTGTGCGTGCAGACAGGAGACCATTTCCAGCTGCTCAGCGCTAAACTCTAGGGTATTGTTTTGGGGAATCATTACCGGATGAAGGAAGATCAACAGAAAATAATGGTCTTTGAACTTGGCAGATATAAGCTGTCCCTTTTGTGGAGCCACAAGGCATTGATTTATATGACCCAGGCCCAGACTTTGGCTGTTCCCCAGGGAACAAGCAGATTTTTGTGTGAGTCTGATGTTCTTTGAATGCCCAAGGCATGCCACAGCCTCAAAAACCTAGAGTGGAGGGCTGGGTCCTTTCATGTCTTTGGAGAGTACAAATGCCAAGGCTCCACAGTCTTTGGTGGCACTTATCCACTGGTGTTTTGTCATTGGGATCCCTCTGGGCACTTGGGAGAGTGGCTAGTGTGCAGGGCATGTGGTTTACTGAGTTGGTGCAGAGATGAGGAAGTGAGAGAGGGAAGGTGATACAGAAAACAGGAAGCACAAGGTGAGGCCAGCTACCAGCAACTGGAGCTCATTCTTTTGAGAAAGCATTAACTACATGGCATAAAATTCACACTTGGCTACTCCAGCCATAAGGGCTGGGATACTGCCCCTCCCAGGCCACTGGATATTGGTTAGGAGCTGTTCCTGGGCCACTCAAATTCTTAGGCACTTTCAGCCAATAGTGCACAAGGCAGATTAGATTCTAGCAGGTGGATGGCAGTCTCTCATCAAGATATATAGTTGTTGGCTACTGATTTAGGCTCAGTTCTGCTCTTGCTCCTTGCTTTTGATGTTATTGGTATGTGCCATCAACCCTCCAGTGGGTTTTCAGAGAAAGTTAGTCCCATGTAAGACTATCTTTCTCCTGTGGAGCAGCTGGTGGATTCAAACCACATGCCTTTGGGGTGGCAACATAGGTCCTTACCACTAGGCTACCAGAACTCCTAGCCTTTACTCACGCTGAATATGTATGTCGATGCTGCTTCCAGTCAGAGGCACTGACTGCCTTGGCGAACCCCACACACAGAGGTACAGGAACAGTCTTTCTCTTCCTATGTGGACCTACTGAGCTACATTTGTCTGCTGAGTTTCTAGATTACACTCAGTGTCTCTAAATGTTTAGGGTCATTTGTACTGACTGGTTTTGCTAGAAAGTAGACCAGCTTGCTGTGGAATTCTCCTTGGGCTTTGTGGTCAGAGAAGTCGACCAGAGCTTGTTGATGTTGGCATCTCTCTTCCCTGGTGGCTGAGTCAGCACTGGGGCCTTGGCTGAGGGACAGAGTCACTAACATGCTACAGTGGCCTGCAGGTCAGATGAGGCAGCACTTGGACCATGGTACAAACAACATCAGCAAAGCTGGCCACAAAACAAATCTTACTAACAAACTGCATAATCCAGCCGAGGGTCATTTATTACAGGGGAAATTCCAAAAGGAGACGGAAAACGTTGAATAACCGTTCCTTAGAAGGAAGGATGGTGAGACTTCTTCTCATATACTTAGGGTGTGTGATCAGGAGGGACGACCCCCTGGAAGACATTGTGCTTGGGAAAACACAGGGCAAATGAAAGATGGTAAGACCCTCAAGGAGATGAGTGATCCAGTGGCTGCAAGGGGCGTAAGCACCGCGGAGATAGATGTTGGACGAGCATGAGCCACCTCATGAACCAAAGGCAGACAATGCAGAGCAAATCCCAAGCCCTGTCTCCATCTATCCGTTCTATGAACTGAGGAAGACCCTAGTGAAGCCTAGTGAGCACCCACCAGGGTTAGCATTTCCGAGAGGAGGATGTAGGCTGTGCACTGCCTGTGACCCAGAGGACTCCAGCACACAAGGAGCAGTGTGCCGTGAAATGAGTGACCACGATTTTCAGTCACTCCCGGTAAGTGTTCAGATCTTGGGGGTCAATGGATATGTGGGTCCCATCTTTTCCAGATTTCTGCTGTCCTTAGGGATGCTCGACCAATCACAGGTGGCTCTCCTACCAGGTGCTAAGCAATGGAACTGGGTTTTTCCCCCCTCTAAAACTTTGTCACAGCACCTCCTCTTTCTGACCCCTAATGTGCCCTACTCCATTTCAGCCACTGCTCTAGTCATGCCCAGAGAATGCTGAAAGAAAGAAATGATTCAGGACAAATTCCGCACAGCCGGAAGCAGCTGCTCCATGCAGACATCCCGTCTTTCTGTATTTTTATGGGATAATACCAATCATAAATATAAGTTAGAGACGATTTATGTTTGACTGCAGAGCCATCCACCCAGACTGAATAGCTCTGTGCTTTAAGAAATTCAACATGCATAAAGGATTCTATTTTTCTTCTAAAATACCACATGTATATAAAGCGATAACATTTGAAATTCTTTCCAAAACTTTCACGAAGGGCGCTGTGGGAGGGAAATTGGACATCGTCTAATCATAGGCACGCATAATATACAAAGACATGCACGCGCATAGCCGCCGAGGTGCAAGCGCTTGCATTTACATTTAGAACATTTTTCCGGAACATTCCACATCCGAGCCACTCACGCCCAGGACCAGGTTACTATGGATGGAAAGTGAGGATCATTTTTCTGCTCTGTTCAAATGCAAGCTACTTCGAGAATGCCCCCCCTCCCCACTGGTTCTTCTAAGCATGTTCTGCACATTGGTTTATTTCTGAAAGTTTTGGTAGACAGCAAATCTGAACTTGATGGCTTCTCTCACCTCAAACTGTCTCTTCATCAAAAACAGCTGAAAGAGGGGTGCCCTATGGAAGGGTTCCTCGTGATGTGATCTGACCCACTTACACCTACCCTCTCTCCACGTCAGCGAGTGGCTCACCCTCCTCCTTCAAAACCGCTTCCCTTCTGTCCTCACTGCTTAGAGCAAGGACACCCTTCCTTCACAGGCTGCCATGCCATCACATCTAGAAAGGAGAGAGCCGCTCCTCCCCTGGGAACCCAGCTCTCTGAAGCAGAGGGAGGTTTTTGGTACCTTGCATATAATTATTCACCTGGTAGTCTGGGGAGGTTACCATGACAACGCTGCCAGGGTCTCCTGTATCTACATGTCATTGATGCATCCTGTCAATTCAGAGAAGGGAGAAAAGGCAGGCAGAGCATCCTCGGCCCTCTGTCTCCCATCTGCCCTGCTCAATGTCTCTTTCACTTATTTGTTTTAGTAGAATCCAGACACAGCTTCAGTGATACGCTTAGTGCCCCACCGTTTGCCTCCAATGCATTTTAAAGCTCAACATCAAAGCCTAGCCTGACTGGGAGGTTTATTACTTGGGTCTTCACTTTTCCAAGTGTTATGGTCAAGACTGAGTTCTGCTGCTGGCCGTGGCATGCTTTAATTAGTACGTGCTGGACCCAAGAGGAACACTAAATCCAGAAACCTTTCTTGATAGAAAGGTTAAACACTGGGAGAATCAGAAAGAATTCTATAGTAATCTCAAGTGATTTCCATAACAGGATGTACATGGATTTCCAGAGAGGAAGAAAGGATCTTGCCTTTGGCCCTGTGACTAAAGACAAAGTTTTCTCCGTGTGCGTCTCCTTAGAAAGGGACAAGATATCTCGCTTTTTTAAATCAGAAACTGCTCTTAAAAGTACATACTAAATGATAACCAATGAGCTTAATGTGAGAACCTTAATTGTCTCTCCCAATCTCTATTTTGGAGTTCCCATCCTCAGGCATTCACAGGGTGAGGAGAGTGTTCTCTCAGAGCCCAAGACCAGCCTTGAGTCAAGGATTTCGACACCCAACTTAGTCAGAGAATCAACCTAAGTGATCACAGGAGATTTCTTCCTGGCTTAGGACACTGCAGTCACGCTTTCAACGTAACTGTCCAGGGAAGTTATATGTTAATGTTTATCACTGTTGTTAGGTGTAACTGAGTGGTTCCAACTCACAGTAACCCTATGAACAATGGAAGGAATCATCATCCAGTCTGGGGCCACCCTCTCAATCTTCCTATGGAACATTTTAGCTGCCACTATGCCAATCCATTTCATGCCAATCCATTTCACTGGGGACCTTCATCTAAGTGCTGATGCGCGTCAACAATTTGAAACAACTGTAAAACACCATGGAGACTTATTACATTTGACTCTGAAAGTCATTATGTCAACAATGAGCCGAGTGAACATACCTGTGGGTGAGCCCTCCATGACGTGGCCGACGTAGGGACCCTCCCGAAAGACTGGTCTGTTGTCATTCTGATCAATCACAATGATTTCCAGGGGGACTGGCCCCTCAAGAGTTTTGCCACTGGCATCAGTAGTCTCCACGAAAAGCTGTTGAAACAAAAAGATTGGGGACGGGGAGAGAGAAAGACAGTATTACTTCATTATGAAAATGGAAGCCAGGTGCTCGGGAGAAAGTAGGTTAGATCAGCAATTTTATGAGCCTTTGGCAATGTTCAAACTGTGGTCTCAGTGGGTAGTCACTGGGGCTGGAATGGAAATGAAACATTTCAAGGTACGAGGTAAAGATCAGTTCATGCTTGATGCCCCTTGGGAAAATTAATTCATCAAATCTGCAAAGAAAATGTAAGTGCGTGTGTGTATACACACAGGAGATACACACACACACACATACATAAATGTATATGATATTAAATACCCCATTCATAATCAACCAAAACTTAGAAAACGAGCTTAGACTGTTTTCTCTGTCTCCAGTATCATTATGCTTAGAAGAAATGTTATGCTAATAAAATAATTGGCTAAGCTGTTATGAATAGAGTGCATTAGGACATAACCATATTGATGGCAATATTTATGAGACATTCAGGTCGATTAATATTTACAGAGGGTTGTAATTAACCCGAAGGCGGTGCCCCTCTGCCTGTTTATCTCCACAGAGGGAGAAAGACGAGCCATCTCCTTCCATATGATTTACAGCTTCAGAAACCCAAAGAAGTTCAGCTATGAGTTGGTTCCAACTTGTTGGCAATGAGCTTCTTGAGTAAGTGAACCTAGAGGTTGTGAGGGGCTGGATGAAACACGGGGATTCTTGCCTGTCAGAAGCTTACAGTCCAGCAGGGACGGCAGAATCCCATGCAACACCCCACAGGGAACCTCTTGAGATCTCAAGAGCAACAACAACAACAAAAAGCACAGTATGAACTCCAGTTCTCTTGCTCGTCTTAGAAGTGAAGAATTCTGCCTTAGCATTTCCAATAAACGGCCATGAACTAATGCTCTCATTGTCCATAATCAACTCAGCCTTGATCCAATAATTAGTAGCATCTCTCCTTGACCTCATGGTCTCTGCATAGGACGTAGAACAGTTTCGTGATCCAGTGAGGATCTCTGTTGTGTAAGCAAAGGTCTGCTTTCCTCTAGCTGTGACCTTGAGCAAGTCACTTCACTTCTCAGTCTCTGCATCTGTAAAGTCGAGATAAGATCAATGCCCAGCATGAAGGACTTGTGATGTTTAATAACAGCCAACACCATCTAGCTGTGAAGAAGCCTCGGTGGGATGGTGTATAATAGCTTGGGCTCCTAACAGAAAGGCTGACAGGTTGAGTCCATCAACTGCACTGGTGGAGAAACACAGGCAATATCCTCCCATAAAGATTTACTACATTTGGAACAAATGGTGAGTTCTCACTCAACGGTTGTACTTAGTGTGCATCTATAGCACTTGGAGTCCCCGGGTGGGATTCACAGTCAATGCTAACCAAATGTTTGGAGGTTTCAGTTCACCCAGATATGCCTCAGAAGAAAGGCCTGCCAATCTGGAAGACCCCAGCCACTGAACATCCTACGGAGCACAGATCTATTTGGCCGCGCCCTGTAGTTGTAATGTCGTGATTTGGAGTATACAAGGAGGATATTGGATTTTAGGATCTAGTGCTTACTTAGCCTCTGCACAGTATTAAAGGGACTGTGGTGGTGCAGGGCTTAAAGGAATTGGCTATTAATCAAAAGGTTGGCACTTTGAACCGACTGTCTGGAAGAAAGATGAGGCAATCAGCTTCCGTGAAGATTTACAGCCTAAGAAGCCCTATTGGCCACTCAGCTGCAGATGCTCCAGGGTGCTAGACAGGGACCGAATCCTGCAGTGTGCCTGGCTTGAGTATGCTGTACCAATTCACCTGACCCTCACCCTGAGGACCATTTCATAGAAGGAACAGAAGCAGGGAGGCCAAGTGACTTGTCTAAGGTTATCCAGCCGTTGAGCGGTGGAGTCTGGAAGTGGTCCTTTGAATTGACGTGGTTTTTTTAAAAAATTTTTTTTTAAATAGAATTCAAATACATTGTTTTTCACACTGGACCTTTTCCTTTTTAAACCACAATATTTCTAAACTGCTTGTCACAAAATGTATCTCAAGAACATTTGTTAACTGCTTTATGCCACTTTTACTATCAAAGTAATTTGTCAAATCTAGGCCAAATAAGTACAATAAAAAAAAGAAGTATTCTTTTTACAAATCCACGTGCTCACTTCCCACCCGCTAAGACTGTGACTTGGTATCATAATTTTTTAAGTTGTTTTTCTGCCCGGTTGAGTCAGAGCTGACCCATAGCTGAACCTCTAGAGGGTTTTCAGAGGCAGTAAACTGCATCAGAGTAGACCGCCCGTCTTTCTCCTGTGGAGCAGCTAGCGGATTTGCCCACTAGGTCACCAGAGCTCCCTCCACTAGACTCTCCTATCCCGGTGATTTCCCCTCTGCTTCCTTCCCCTTTTACTGCCCCACTTCTCTCCTTTGGCAACACAATTCTTTACCAATAAACATGGCATAACCTTGTTGGTATCACTTCCAAATTTATTTGGAATGTGTTGCTTTGTCTATATGAAGACATGAAATGGCACTAGCACCCACCTCAGTGTGTGATAACAAGCGCGGATGAAAAGAACTCTCCACAATTACACACTAAAATACAGCTATCTGGCAAACTGATATTGAAATCTGGTCTACTCGGAATATTGCTTGAGAACACACAAAAAAGCACAAACATCAGGCATACGCAACCTTGGAATTGAATTTTAGCAGCTAGAGAGAGGGTAAAGGTTTGCATTCACTCTGCGGTACTTTGAAAAACATTCTGGTGATTGACTTCCTAAGTAGCATCCTTTAAAAAATCACAAGGAACACAGTTCTGCTCTGATACGTGAAGTGCCCGTGAGCTGGAATTGACTTACAACGACAACTCAGGTTTTCAGGGGTTTTGTAGTTGGCAAATGCCGAACTTTCCGGACTGCAAAGGTCCCTTAAATTGCAGAGGGTACTTCTGGCATCAGAGAATAAATGTTCAATGATATTCATACTTCCCTTTCCTCTTCCTAGTTATCCAAAGACATCCTAAAAAAATCCAAGACATACACTCCTTTATTCAGAAAAGACTGGGAAAGGTTTGTTTCCTTTTACTCACTTAATGGATTCTTGGGGCAAGGACTGAAAAAAATTAACAAAAAAAGCAAAGCAAGCCAGAATGCATTGGAAGGGAGGTGTTTCATTGCTCTCCAGGTTTGAAGGGGGCTCTCGTTTGGGAAATTCCTAGTGTGAGAAAAACAAATGGGAGCCACTGGCTGAAAGCAAGGCTCTACTTGTTCAATGGAAATAGAAACCATCCAGTCTTTCACTGCCTATTTCTGGACCAACTTCTTGGACCTGAAACTTCTATTCTTTGTTTCCATGGTTGAGCTGCCTGGGGAGAATCAGCTGGGATGTATAAAAAGGTTCATTGTGGAATGAGAAAGGAGAGACACTCAACTAATTATAGACATGAACATTTGTCCAAGGATGCAGTGTCTAATGTGACCAACCTCTACAATGTGCTTTCTAATCTCCAGTTGCTATGGAGCTGACTCCAACTCATGGCAAGCTCATGCGTTTCAGAGACGTGTGCTCCACAGAGTTTTGAAAAAATTAGTTCCTGGGAAGAAGATCATCAGGGAGGCAAAAGTATGTCACTTTCCTTCCAAGGCTTCTCTGGATCAACTTGACCAGCTAACCTTTGGGTCAGTGGGTGAGCACTGTAATCATCTGAACCACTCAGGGATTCTGCTGTGCTTGCTACAGTCTCACTATTCTAAGGGTGGGCTCTAGACTGGTAGCATCTCCATCCCCCAGAGCCGGTAAGAGACACAGACTCCCAGGCCCTGACAAACCCTTCCGAGCTACTTTATGTATCTTATCTGATTCCCAGAGAGTGCAGTGCACGTAACAGTTGGAGTAGTTCTGCTGTGTGCCATGTGGCTTGGAAACAGAAGTTCAGAGGCTTGGTCAAGTTTAGGATAAGCACTGTCAGGTTTGGCCACACGCAAATAAACCCTACTTGATAGAAAGTTCACTTCCTGCATTTGGACTTAGCTATGACTCTTACACACACAGGCAAGTATTGGTATTCTGTGTGGATTTGCCTGGAGATGTCTGCCTGCCTGCCTCCCTCCCTCCCTCCTTTCTTCCTTCCTTCTCTCTTGCTAGTGCACACATGTATGTACACACACACACACACACACACACACACACACACACACACACTCTTACTTTACAGGATTCTACAAATTAACACATTGAAATTGTCACCTACATGTATTGATATCTCCCTGTGTGAAGCCAAGAAGAGTGAAGAAAACCAAAGAAGCCTGCATAGCTCTGATAGGTCTCAAGAACCTTAACTTCCAGCACCCTGAGACCAGAACTAGGAGGTGACCGCTGACTACTCTGAAAGGGATCAAGAAAGAAATCAAATGGGAAACACAACTCACAATCAGTAAAATGTCCACCTCTACTGCTCTGATAGAAATAGGTTCAAACTATCGAACACTATGGCTCTTATCTGCTCTTGATGAACTTACCCCTGAACTTCTAACTTTCAGACAGTTATTTAGGATGAACAATAATATCAGGGAGATGTCCAGTCCTTAGAACAATCATCCCTACACAGTTACTAGGGCATCATTGTCCAAGGTTAAAGCTAAGAAGGTTAGGAAGCCAGATACTAGAAGAGTAAATGGAAATGAGAATCACAGGAAAAGAGCGGGGAGTGTGCTGATATGATGGGGGAAGGTGGTCAAAGTCACAAAATAAAATATGTATGAATGGGAGAACAGAATAACAATCTGCTCTGTAAGCTTTCACACAAATCACAAGAAAAACTTCAAAAAAGTAAACATCTAAATAATAATTTTTAAAGACATATATTGATTTTAACATGTGACTGCTACCATGTGGGTGCTGAATTCTAATCCAAATCTAACTTCTCTATATTGATCCACTTTCTGCCTTTTCTAGAGAAGACAACTATTTAACATTCTAACAATTTAATTTAAAAGTTTTTGA